TAGTTCTATGACTCTATGGTTCTGTAGTTCTATGACTCTACGGTTCAATGGTTCTATGACTCTATGGTTCTATTATGACTCTGTGATTCTATGGTTTTATGACTTTGACTATAGTTCCATGACTGATTCTGACAGCACTGCATGGGGTTTGTGGGACCAACCTGCAGTGGGAACCAGCATCAGGCTGTACCAGGAGCTGTGTGCTGTTTTCTGCTGCAGCTTCCCTCACCCAGCTGACAAGCGTCGACCATTCGAAAGGTCTTGAAGGGTTTCCATCCATGTGAAAGGAGCACATCAAGTGGCCTGGGATAGCTGCTGCGTTATTAGCATCATTAAGCAAGAGAGTTCATGTTACTAATGTCACTGGGGATTTGATAACTGGAATATCATGGACACATGGACCATGGTTGAGATCACTTGCAAAGTTTGGGAGGAAAATACCATCTGTTTCCTAATTCACCTCATGGTTGATCTGCCCAGGGTTGAGGTTGGTGCCTCTCCAGTCCCAGCTATTTGCCTGTGGTTTCAAGTGGTCATACAGAGATTTCTTACCAACCCCCCCCCACTAGTGGTGCAGGAGCTCATGTGGAACAGCCCTGTGTTTGTGAAAACCTCTTAGCCTGCAGGGTTCAGCTGAGCCTTCCCAGGGAAAGAGCACCCTGGTGAGCTAGGGGCTGCCTCCTGCTAGGGCTCCAGCCTTAAAAAGACAGGGCTGTTTTACTGAATTTTCACTCTCGTTTTTAATCACAGACAGGCCGGATCGAGCCAAACTACCCCAAAGTCTGCGGCCACCAGGGCAATGTGCTCGACATCAAGTGGAACCCCTTCATTGAGAACATCATCGCCTCGTGCTCCGAGGACACCTCGGTGAGTGGTGCGCTGCCCTGCTGATGGCTCAGCGAGCAAAGAGTGGGCAACTGGAAGACTGTGTAAATCCACAGCTGTGTGGCACACTGTGCACATCTGCACCTCGTGTGCCATCAGTGTAGGGGCTGCTGCTGGGGATTAGCCCCTCTGCTGTGCCCTGTGTCATGTGGCATTGAGTGCTGCTCTTTCTGTGTCCCTGCACAGCTGTGCACAGTGATGGCTTTTTGCAAGCCCAACAGCAGTGCTATTATTAATCCTTCCTGCTAGCAGAGACCGCAGGGCTGCGGCTGCTCTCGTGTCCTGGTGCATGCAGCAGTGTGAGCCAAGGGCAGCCCTGCCACTGGGGGGACACTGAATCAGGTCATCTGTATCAGATGACATCTGCCTCCCCCTTATTTGCTGGATGCACACGAGTCCATCCCAAAGAGTGTAACGGAAAGGAAAAAGGCTCTACAAGGGAGCGGAGCGTGGCCCATTCTGCACAGCAGAAGCCAGGCTTTGGGGTGACCCAGTTTTTGACAGCTCACAAAGACACTGCGTTTCACTGAATGCTGTCACCCAACAACTCGTCCTCTCCTTCAGCACCACTTATTGGTATTTTTTTGGTCACTGAGAGCTTGTCAAGGAAGTGTTTCAATGGGGAAGAAATGCAGATCATGGCTATGAATCATGGGGAGCTGTCTCCCACCTTGGATGATAACTTCTATACACTGCTAGGGGGGATTGCCCTCCTGCTGGGGATACGACCTCCCAATATGTGTCCTGTGCAGGTGCGGATATGGGAAATCCCAGAGGGGGGCCTGAAGAGGAACATGACAGAGGCAGTGCTGGAGCTGTATGGGCACAGCCGGCGCGTTGGCTTGGTCGAGTGGCACCCCACCACCAACAACATCCTCTTCAGTGCCGGCTATGACTACAAGGTGAGCCCAGGGAACCGCATGCAAACAGCTCCTGGTGTCCAAAACGCAACCATGCACCGTGCCTTGCACCCTCCTGTAGGCGTTGGTTTTGCACAAGGGGTGACCCCATAAAGATGGGCTGAGGGCTTTGGAAGCGATGAGCAAGCGGTTTCAGCACCCAGATGAATTTTAGGATGGCCCAAAACACAGCCTCACCCCCTCCACAGGTCCTCATCTGGAACTTGGACATCGGGGAGCCCGTCAAGATGATCGACTGCCACACGGATGTCATCCTGTGCATGTCCTTCAACACGGATGGCAGCCTGCTGGCCACCTCTTGCAAGGACAAGAAGCTGCGGGTGGTAGAGCCGCGCTCTGGCCGGGTGCTGCAGGTGAGGGGTCTGGAAGGGTCTGCAAATGGGGGCACAGGAGGGATCCCCAGTCATATCACAGCCCTTTGGGTGGAACGCAATAGAAGCTAAGAACAGGCAGCAATAGGAATGGAGGTGGGAAGGTGCGTGGCCTGGGGGAAGGCAGTGGTTTCCTGGCGGTGTTCATCTCCTGTCCTGTCCTGCAGGAAGCCAGCTGCAAGAACCACCGTGTCAACCGCGTGGTCTTCCTGGGCAGCACGAAGCGGCTGCTCACCACTGGGGTCTCGCGCTGGAACACACGGCAGATCGCGCTCTGGGACCAGGTCGGTGGCTGGGACTCCATTTCAGGGTACCATAGCTAAAGGTGGTCCCAAAATGCCCAGACTGGGGGGCTGGGAGAGCCCTGCCCGTGGCAAACCTCACTGGGGATGCCCTGCTCTGCATCCCTGGATGGGAGTCAGGGCATCTCCAACCTCCAGCACCACGTTAGAAGGCGGTGGGCTTATCCCAGTGCAATGCAAACCCTGTGACGTCTCCATTGCTGTACGGTTAAAAGCAATTTTTCCCATTGTGCAGGAAGATCTCTCCATGCCCCTCATTGAGGAGGAGATCGATGGGCTCTCGGGGCTGCTCTTCCCTTTCTACGACGCAGACACTCACATGCTGTATTTAGCTGGCAAGGTCTGTGGGCTTGGTGCCGGCACGGCAATGCTGGGAGCTGGTGCTGCAAACACCAGAACAAATCCCCTGCAGGCCGGGGCCAGGGGATGTTAGCATGATTTGTACTCGGTGCAGCACTAATCTCACTCTTCTCACTCCAGGGTGACGGCAACATTCGGTACTATGAGATTGGCTCAGAGAAGCCTTACCTGAGCTACCTGATGGAGTTTCGCTCCCCTGCCCCGCAGAAAGGACTGGGTAAGGATGGCAGCTTGCCCCGCTGCTAAGCCTTCCCTTGCAGAAGGTCAACCACAGGAGTGCTTAATGAAATGATGCTGATAGATGCATCCTGCAAAGCAGACATGAGGGGGGGCTGGGTGCCAAGGGGCAGCCAATGGAGGGTTAATCCAAAGCGTCCCATTGCTGAGTCTCCTTCCGCTGATGCTAAGCCTGGGTCCCTGCCAGGGTCACTCACTTGTTCCTCAATCAAAGCTGCTCATCCCTTTCCCACTGTCCCTATAAAAGCCCCTCTCTGCCCCACTGGGATGCATTCAGCCACGCGTGGGTCTTGTAATGATATGACCCACAGCTTTTTGGGGTCCTGGCTGGCTGGGTCTCAGCATTTGCAGCACTGGCGGTTATTACAGGGGAGTTATTTCACTCACCATTCGCAGGGGTGATGCCGAAGCATGGGCTGGATGTGTCTGCCTGTGAGGTCTTCCGCTTCTACAAGCTGGTCACCCTGAAGGGACTCATCGAGCCCATCTCCATGATCGTGCCAAGGAGGGTGAGTGCCCTAGGGGTGGACATCCTATCCAGCAGGTGGGTCTTCTTTGGTCCAGCCTTGGACCTTCCCATGGTAACATTTCCAACACATGCAGTTCGCAGTGGGTGGAGTTTGACCTGTGGGTAAGATGGGGACATCTTCAGAAGGTGCATTTCTGCACACTTCTGCCCTTGGCTGCTGCTTTTTGCTGTGCGAATGCTCAGCATCCATCAGCCCTGAGTTGAGTGCTGTAGCCCAGAGCAGAGCTCAGGGCCCTTTGGGAACTTTCCAGCTCTGTTGTCATCCTGATGGGTGACATTCATTTATTCTGCCTGCTGTAGATCAAATGCATCCTGTGGCCTCCACAGTGTGGCACTGGGCAGGGACAAAGGTGAAAGTCCTGTACAGCCCTGCACAGCCCTGGGATCGCTGCCTTGCAGAGCATGAGCTCAGTGCACAGCCCTGGGATGCTTTCTTTCTGGTTTGACTCAGCACAGTAAACGTGGGTTTGTTGTTTTTCCTGGATGCTGCCACGTGGCTGCATTATTGCACGCTGATGGAGGGAGGGAGCAATTGCAGTGCATGGATGGGATCCTTTATGGAGCTCGGTGCTTTTATTTCCCTGTTCTGTAGTCGGAGACGTACCAAGAGGACATTTACCCCATGACCCCGGGCACGGAGCCGGCCCTCACGCCAGACGAGTGGCTGAGCGGAGTGAACAGAGGTAAAAGAATGAACCACAGCCCTGCAGGCGTCTGTGGCTCAGTCCTGGCAGTGGGGGGAGCCCCAAAAGCAGCCCTCGCTCAGCCCCTGCTCTGCCCTCAGACCCCATCCTGATGTCACTGAAGGAGGGCTACAAGAGAACATCCAAAATCGTCTTCAAGGCACCAGTGAGAGAGAAGAAGAGCGTGGTGGTGAATGGCATTGACCTGCTGGAGAACGTGCCGCCCCGCACCGAGAACGAGGTGGGGAGCACCGTGCCGTTAGCGTGGCCCCAGGCTGGTCGTTTGGGTCCTTCTGGGGCATTTTGGGGGGTAAGGTTCGTCTGCAGCCCAACCAGCTGCTGCGCTCTGGCTCTCTGCTCCCAGTTGTGCATTCCTGGGGCACCCCGCTTTAAACCTGCTGGATGCACCCAAACGAGCAGTGTGATGCTCCTGATTTTTGTTTTAATTAAATCCTCCTGGAACAACACTGGGAAATGCTGGGGAAACATAGAGGAAGCTGGCTTTCTCGCAGGGTGCATGCACAGGGTAGGGAAATGCAACCCTAGCAAGGAGGAAGTGCGTTGCTGCCATGGCATTGCAAGAGCAGCAGAGTTGCAAAAACAACAGGGCTGGAAAACAGAAGGGTTGCAAAGCAGGAGGTTATGCAGCAGCCCCGCTTCAGCTCCGCTCCCATCTCCTTGCAGCTCCTTCGGATGTTCTTCCGGCAGCAGGACGAGATCCGGCGGCTGAAGGACGAGCTCTCGCAGAAAGACATTCGGATCCGCCAGCTACAGCTGGAGCTGAAGAATTTACGCAACAGCCCGAAGAATAATTAACTTCCAGGGACGTTTTATAAATAAACTCTCTTTGTTTATACTCGCTCTTTAATTTTATTGTATCCACTTACACAGAATACGAGCCAGAAGTCAAGTGACCTGCCAAGAGCCCACTGCTAACTGGAAACAAGTCCTCGTTGCCTCGTCTGCACTCAATGCAGCTCCAGCACAAAGGAGGGGAGCTGGGTGCACCGGCTGCCCTGGAGCTGGCAGAGGGCACCGTGGTTCCTCGCTGTTAATCTTTTTCCTATGCAAAACGTGACAGAGATTCCCTCGGCTGCTAAACTGGAACTGGGTTAGCACAGCGCGGGAGCTGCAAATGGTGTTTGTGCGCGTGGTCACGCAGCACTTCCTTCAAACGTTGAAAGAAAAACATTGAGAGCAGTACGGCTGGATGTCCTAACCACAGAGGTATTTTTGCTCCTTCCCCTCCACGGAGGGACCTGACCTCCTCCTTTGCCCCTGGACAAGGGCGTGAGGGCACAGCACACCCACGTGTACAATCACAGGTTGTGAATTAGGCCTTTAGCGCACACCAAATACTGCTAGTTCCTCTCTTTTCACTAAATCAAGTCGCTGAGTCGCCTAGCACTACCTGTGCAATGGTTTCTCCCTGTTGATTTTCGTTGTGCCCCATACCCGACGCTTCCCCGTCTTTACATTCCATGTGCTGTCATTGCCTATTATTTATGCTATCACGGACTAGTGACAAAATAAAATGTTTTCAAGATAGCAAAACCTTGCTGCCTGCTTCTTTCTTCAAATCACAAGCGACCAAGAGTCCTGGGCACGGGTCCCAAAAGGCTTTTCTTTGCAGGGATGAGAAATTCAATCCATGCCATCGCTTCCCCAGCACCATCCTGGTCCTGTGTGCAGTTATCCACGTCTGCGCCCTTACCCGAAGGCAGCAGGCTAGCACCTCTTTAATTCACCTTTTGCATGGGAAGATGGATTGTTTCTCCCAGGCCCTTGGAATCCAAGTGAAATGAGCCCAATTATGGCTGCAGGTTGGGGATGATTAATGAGGCCATCAGCATATCTGCGCACATCAGCACAAACCCAGCAGGTTTGGTGCCTGCACTGAGGGGGGGATGTGGGTGCCCGCCCTGCCTCCTACTGCCCAGCTCCTCCCAGCCCTATGAAAGCCCCACAGACAGACAAGCCCTGGTTCTGCAGTTTCTAGGGCAAACCCCGGGTGAGGCTATTGCTGCTCCTGCGCTTGCACCTTTTCCTCCAGCTCCCTCCTCTCAGTAACAGCTTGAATTCTTCCTGACATCTCCTCTCGTGCCATCTGGGTGCTATTTAAAGCAGAAAGGCCCATTTTGGGGAACTCGAGCCATCCAGTTTTAGCGCTGAGCTCCCTGTGCTGCTCCAACCTTATGGCTTCACCATAAGGACCGACCCAATCTCCCCTTGTCCCTGCAGGATGGGGCCATGAGACAGCTTCTGCACTGAGCTGCATCCCAGCTGCCTGCTCTGCTTTTGGGGCTGGGGGGTGTTTCAGCACTTCTGGGCAGTCTGCAGTGTTTTACCAGGGTCTAAATAAGACCCATGACATAAAGCTCCCAGTTATTTTTTCCGTTTCTCTTGCAAGCGTTACAATTTGCTTAAAGCCTAAAGATGCTTCCCTTGCATCCTGGGATGCACAGCACCTCCAGGACCTTTTGCAACCTCAGCAATTCTGAAACACCTGATTTAGCTGCAGGATTTTCCAGGCTCTCCCCACACAAATCCAAGCAGAAGGCTCGCCCTTCATTCGTGCTGCTGATGGCACAGCTTCAGGGACAGTGGGTTAGAAGGAGAAAGGATTCAGAACTCAGCCGCCAGCAGCAGCAGCCGGCCCTTTCCCAGCGCAGCCCTAGCCAGGGATGTTTCCTTCCTGCTCTGCTTTCCCCATCCGTGCTCAGCCTTATCACCCTGACCTACTTTCTGCTTCCTGGAGGTTGTGCTCTGTCGGAGGCAAATGCTTGGCTTGGCCGCGTGGTGCTTCCCATCCTTCACATTATTGGTTCCAGCATCTTTGGAGCGAGCGCCTGCTGGAAAAGATCTCCTGTGATTGAGCCCCTTTAACATACAGACAATGTAAGAACTGCTTTCTGAAAGCAAAAATTGAGCAATTTAAGAAAAGAAGAGCCCCTGTGTTTTTGCCTGTCAGTTAAATCAGTGGAGTTTCCCATCAATGAGCTGAGGGTGCTGCTGGCCCTGCCTTCCCCGCCACCCCGAGGCTCCGCGTGCTCAGGGCTGCCCTTGGGAGCTCAGATTTCTCATAGCTAAAAAGAAGAAAAAACAAAACAACCCACATTTTTAAAACGATGCACTGCTGCTTTCTGACCCAAAGCAAGACCCCCTGCGAGGAGGCTTTCAAACACAGCCAGGGCTCAGCATGGGAACATTCCATCCCCTGCAATATTGCCCGGCAGCACTGAGCTCAGACTGCTTTGCAGCAGAATTACAATTGTAGCAAAGGTGCTCCAGGAAGGTGTTAGAAGTAAAAAGTGGTTTTCTCACAGGAGGGATGTTCCAAGAGCTTGGCTGGTTCTCCCTCTGCCGATGCTTCCATTCTCCATGCACATTTTGCACTGGTGCAGCTTCCAATTGTAACAGAAAAACAGAAACTCCAAACAGAAGATTGTTAAAGCCAGAAATTCTCCACTGGGTTTTTGTTGGCTCTGGCAAGGAGGAGTGAAAGCAGCAGTGTCAACAAACAACTGATAGCAGAAAAGGAGCACGATGCCATTCTCCAGCCCAAACACTCAGAGGAGAAAGTGGGAACGGCCAAGCTGAGGAAAACAGGCATTTGAATGAGCTGCAGCCGTTTGTTATTTATTTTTACTTTTTCTTGGGCTTTCCTGCTGATCTGTCACCAAATGCCAGGCTCTGGGCAGTTTTTTTTCCCTATGAGGAAGCTGCAAGTTGGTACCTCTAGCTACTTAGGAAACAAGCCCTTGGCAAGCAGCACGTCAATGCCATGCTTAGAGAAATAATGAGGAAAACAGCCACATTAAGCAAAGCTCCATTTTGCCCTCAGTGGTGGCAGCAAAGCCTTGCAGCACCCCCTTCCCAGCACAAAGGTGTAACCAAAATCCTGCTTCCTACCTGCAGTCAGTGTACCAGCAGTGCTAAACCATGCACAGGGCTCTGCTGCAGCAAGCAGGCAGTAAACAGTGGCCCTGCATTAGCAGCAGGCTCACTGCTGCACCTCTCTTTGGGAAACCTCATTAATTTCAAAGTAAGCTTTGAGATAATCAGCAGTACAAAGAGAAGTGTCACTTAATTGACACCTGGGTCAGTCACTGCTTATGAAAGGGAAGAGCTTAGGGGTGTCTGCATGTTTCCCAGATGAAAGTGAGAGCTGCTTTGCAAGGCAGCGGTGGCTTGCTAGAGCCCATGGGTGACAAAGGTTAAAACAAATGTCACTCCAGCACTGCCACGTGAAGCCGTGCTGCTGCATCTCCTGCATGCAAAGGGGCACAGGGAAGCAGTGTGCTCATTTCCAAGTCTCTGGCTCGTTCTGGAGGAAGGGTCAGGTCCAGCTGCTGCTGAATGCTTTGAATAGCTTGAGTGAAAACTTCCACCTTCAGAAAAACACTCAGAGGCCGAGCTTGCCAGTACAAAGCTCACCTGGAACCTTTGAATTTGAAGCTGGTTCAATGACACAAAGGCTCTGTTTGGGTTGGAGCTTGTGAGCTCTTCAGTTTGTCTTTGCTACTGGTTGCTGCTGTTTGCTTTGCAGGACTATGACCCTGCCTGGCCAGGCTTTGGCTTTGCAGCAGCAGACCCCGGCTGGGGTGGGAGCAACAGTTTGCCTGCTTCTCAAAAACAAACAGCCAAAAAAAAAAAAAAAAAGCCCACAAACAAAACCCCAACCCACCACCACCAGCAGCCTGCCTGTTACAACAAGATTTGTTCAAAGAGACCC